GCTGCTGTGGGTGCCATCTTTATGCTTTTCTTATGCTTCCTAGAACTTAATAATGTTGAGACTATAAAAATAACTTCATTTATTATCCATTATTTGTTATCATTCATTTCTTATTCATAATTATTAATGGAGCAGGCAAGATCTCATTGAGAAAGTAGCATTTAAGTAAGGACGGAAAGAGGAGAGAATAACATAGTTAATCTGGGAAAAGAGATCCAGGCCAAGGGACTAAGTAGTACAAAAGCCTAGAAGCAAGAATACACTCAGTGGGTTTGAAGAACAGGAAAAGAAGGGTGGAACTTGTGAGGCAGAGTGGTAGAAAATGAAGTGAGGAGGTAAAAACTAGATAGAAAAATTATCTATGGCCTTTATAACAATTATGGTTAATGAACTATGAATAACTGAAATAAAAAGCTACCAATTGCTTAAGAAATAATAAAATATAAATAATTTCAAAAGAATTGTATTCAAGGGGCAGGGAAGGTGGCTCAGTGGTAGAGTGCTTGCCTTGCATGCCTGAGGCCCTGGGTTTGATTCCTCAGCACCACATAAGCAAAAAGAAAAAAGCCGGAAGTGGTGCTGTGGCTCAAGTGGTAGAGGTAGAGCACTAGCCTTGAGCTGAAGAGCTGAGGGACAGCACCCAGGCCCAGAGTTCAGGCCCCACAACCGGACCCAAAAAATAAATAAATAAATAAAAGAATTGTATTCAAAAGAATACAGGCTACAGGAGAAAAAAAAAAAGCAGAAAACTGCTTTAGAGGTATCCAAGCAGAAATGGAGGTATGCAGACATAAAATAGGGTCAGTAAGAGGTTAGATTTTTGATTCCTAGATTTAGAGCTAAAAGATACCACTAGCTGACAAGAGAAGTATGAAGGCATAATTATACTATTTGGGGGGAAATCTCTTTATATAATACAAAAGTAAAAGAAAGTAAAAGAAAACCACTTAGAATACAAAATTCTGAAGACATCATCATTCATCCTGTCCAGCATGAGTTAGAGTCCTGTCTTGTCTCCCCTGAGTGGGTGGGAGCAGAATATTGGACATGGGGACAGCATGCCACACTACCAATTTTAAGATTTTATGAAGATCCACTCATTCTTCTTTGTTAAAATTGCCGCCAACTTTGGCTTTCCCACCCAGGATTATAATCTCAGGCCATCTGCCATACCAAACCAGACTCAAAGAAACATAGGTTGCATGAGTTCCCTCATTTGTAATAATTAGAATGTGCTTTTAAATCTGTATGTAAACCCAGTGGACAGTAAAAGACAAAAAAGTTACACTTGGACATGATAAATTAAACAGGACTCTAAACATTCACACAGTTAGACAGAAGGACAATATCCTTAGAAAAGATCACAAGGGCTCAACAGATAAGTGCCTATGATCATGTAAAACGATGCTTATCAAAATGAACTTCCAGAATGAGGTTTTTTATTTTACTTTTTGTGATTCTTCTGTTTCTTTCCCCCCTTTTGTCACTGTTTTTTATTCCTGACCTTTGTCTGAATTTAAGTTTATCTGATTTGGGAAGGGGAAGGAGAAGCACAGAAATGGAGGGACAAAGGGTAAACTTAATACAGCAGTGATACACTGGACACTATGCTAGAAATGAACTATACAAAGTGGGGGTAGGGCGCAGGAGAGAAAAAAACTAGTAGAAAATGAAAGAGAGGGTATCACTGTTCAAAAAGAAATGTACTCATTACCTGACTTACATAACTGTAACCCCTCTGTACATCACCTTTACAATAAAACTAAAAATAAAAATGAATAAAATCAACTTGAAAAAGCCAAAAATTCAACACTACTTTTTCTATTACTGCTCCAGAAATTTTTTTTCCATATTCTGCTCCAAATTAAGCGAGAATTATCCAGATCCAAAAGAAAACTGTTGATTTTTACATCACAACGACAAAGCAGTAGAGCCAATGAGCAGAAGAGGAGCTACTTCAGGGACTAAAACAGCAGCATCTCCACTCAGATGAACCTCTACAAGGTTTAGTAGTATTAGGTTTTTAAAAACAGGTAGCCGAGTAAGAACAGCACCAGCATGCACGTGGTATTCAGGTAAGGGGTAGGAAATGTGTCTCAATTTGTTACTTGATTCTTGTTATTTTCCAAAGTCTTGAAATGGTTCCCTCTGACAATTTTATGCACTTTTATTTTACTTTGTGACAAGTGGATTTGCTAAATTTCTCACTCAGCCACTCTGCATTAAATACATTTTAAAAATAATCTGCCCAAGTAACCTACTAAAAAATGCCAGAGAAAATATTTTGAATCATTTCTAAATACAGAAACTGCCACTGCATTGAAATTACTATTTTCTTTTTGCTGTTAACAGCCCTTTGTTGAAAAGACTTACTCAGGTGGACTTAAGTGGAAAAAGCATTCTAAGCAAGGGCATTTGTAAAGAAAGACACAGAAGCATGTCAGGAAAGTGTGTAGTTAAGAGTTTGGTGGGTGAACACTTCTCTATTTTTAGCTCTTTCTGTTCAACTACAAAGACACTAAAATCTTTTATAATACCCCAAAAATGCCCTCTTTGGTCAGAATAGTGTAGCATTTTTAGTTCAATCTCCTCATCAAATTTCTTTTTTTTTTTTTTTGGCAGTCATGGGGCCTGAACTCTGGGTCTGGGCGCTGTCCCTCAGCTCTTCAGCTCAAGGCTAGCGCTCTACCACTGGAACCACAGTGCCACTTCCGGCTTTTTCTGTTTATGTGGTGCTGAGGAATCAAACCCAGGTCCTCATGCTTGCAAGGCATGCACTCTACCGCTTAGCTACCTTCCCAACCCTCCTCATCAAATTTCTTAAAATAATAATTCAAAAACTATTGGTTCACACCTGTAATCCTAACTACTCAGGAGGCTGAGATCTTTGGATAAGCTCAGAGCCAGCTGAGGCAGGAAAATCAATAAGATTCTTATCTCCAATTAATCCATAAAAAAAAAAACCATGTGGCTCAAGTGGCAGAGCACTAGCCTTCAGCACAAAGTTCAGTGACAGCACCCATACCCTGAGTTCAAGCCCAAGGACCAGCCAAAAAAAAAAAAAAAAAGAACCTAGAGCCAAATTTTGGTTCTCCTCTAAGATTTAAAAAACTTTTTTTTGTTTGTACATTTTTTTATTGTAAAAATGCTATGCAGAGGGGTTACAGTTACATGAGCAAGGTAACGAGTACATTTGCTATTTTTTTCTAATGCTTTTCTTACACATTTTATGATTGTAGTAGTTGGTATTTCTAAATATTTTGCTGATTAATAAGAAAAATCTGTGGGACATTTGTTTTGCCATTTACTTCTAAATGTATCAGTTTGTTACAAGTTTGTTTTATATAAGTAAATATCTGTACAATTTTCAAATCTTAAACCTCTAAATTATCACTGAGTCATAAAATACCTTTCCATACCTCGAATGACAATTAGTAATTTCTCATGAAAAACTCGGGAAATTAACTTAAGGTTTGCCTGTTATCTAAAACATTATTCTGGTTTCCTTGAGATTTTTTTTATAACTTGGCCTTCAAAGAAGTATGTATGGCTTTTGGCAGACACAATCTAATTATCTTATACAAAATATTTTTGTTAATACACTTATTTATATGCTTGGCATCACCCTCTAAAATGCTTAAAAATATGATGAAAGAGCCCTAAATAATGTTGCTTAGAAGATAGCCCTTCATATTACTTATCCATCTTATATTGAATTACAATTTTAGACAGGGGAATATCTAAAATATGAATGTTATCTGGGAGTACAATACCCAGACTATACTTAGAAAGATAATGCAAAAAATATTACCTTTATAGAGACATATCAATTCAGTGCTTCAAAGAATACCTCCCTTTTGTGTGTTATAAATATCATGAACTTTACAGTAAAAATGTCATAGGCTTCTGTATATCATATTTAATTCATTAATTACCCTTATGACCACAAATGATTTACTGGAGGGCCATGGACAAAAAAGTCCATGAGACTTCATCTCCAAAATAAGTAACACAAAGCAGGGCTACAAGTAGCTTACATTGTAAAACAGCAGCCAGCAAGCAAGAGAAGTAAGTATGAAGACCTAAGTTCAAACCCTAGTTCTAACAAAAAAAAAGGATAGAAAATAAGAAAAATACTTCAAATAATCTAATGTTCTGCATAAATAAATGAAAACAACAAGAACAAATTAAAAGTTAACAGAAGAAAACAAAGTAAAAATAAGAAATAGAGTTTGATATCAATAAATCAAGTAATGGCTATTGAAAAGATACAAATAAAATTCTTGAACACATTAGATACAGAAGAAATATGCCTCAACATAAGAAGTCAAATATGAGGGCCGGGATGTAGCTCAGTGGCAAAATGCTTGCCTAGCAAGTGCAACATCCTGGGCTCAATCCCCAGTACCAAAAAAGAAAAGACTCCCCCAAAAAATACAATTAAAAAAGAAGTCAAATATAACAAATTCAAAGCTGATACCATACTTTATGGAAATAATTTGAATGCTTTACCTCTAAAATCTGAAATAAGACAAAGATATCTAACTCCTATTCAACACAGATGCCTAGCAAGAGTAATCAAAGAGAAGAGAAAAGAGAAGAGAAGGGAAGAGAGGAGGGAAGGTAAGTGGAGGGGAGGTGGGAGGGAGGGGAGAGAAGAGAAGACAATAAGAGAGAAGAGGAGGAAAGGGGAATTCTAAAAATACTTGAATCTGAAATTTTTCATTAAATATTTCCAAAATACTTGAAATAAAATAGGCAGCAAACCAGCAAAGTGATTCTGTCAAAATGAAATAGTTGCATAAGTGGCAGTGGAAATATGCAACCAAACTAAATTCACTTCTGCATGTAGTAGAATCTAATCTAAGTGGCAAAGACTAGGAATAAACACCTTGGCCATATAGTGTGTCCAGAGACAAACACACATACATACACATCACGCTTTAAAGATTTATAACATGTTTCTAAATAGAAAAATCTGAATTAATTCAACTTCTTACCTTCTTCTGCTTCATCCTCCTGAGGTGACACTGGACCCCCTCCACTAGTAGGAGTAACAGGTTCTTCCTTGTCAGACTCTCGCTGCAGGCTCACCACCTCATATATTGCATCTCCAGCACTGGAATGTCCTTTTCCCTCAGACTAAGAAAGATATAACCATGTGTGTAAACATAAGAAATCTAAAGATAGCATTTCAATGGTTCATTAAAAATATCTGAAATGGCTGAGTAGAGTGGGCCAAACCTATAATTATAATCTTAGCTAACTGAGAAGCAAAGATTGAGGGATTGTGGTTCAAGGCCAACTCAAATTCTTTCAACTTTTTCCCAATTCAAAGCCTCAGACTATTCTTTTCTCTCTGCCCATAGAGCATTTCTCTTTAACTTTCTCTTATCTATCTTAGATCCTTACCTCAAATATTACTTCTACAAATTGGTTTTTTAGAACCCATCTCTCCATCTACAAGGTAAATTCCTTATGTGTTTGATTCTCACAAAATCCTGACTTTTACCACAATAAAACTGCATACTTATTTTTATATTTACTTGTTTAATATCTGCTTAATCCACAAGACAGTTAATTCATTAAACAAATCATGTGGTACATGACACAAAATAAATATATATCAAAGGACTAGCCAGAAAAACATGGATCTGGGAATTCAATACATCTGAGCCTGAAATAAAATGTTACTATCAATTAGGTATTCCACATTGGCCAACTTACTATGGTAAGTTATAGTATTTGTAATAAAATACAACTAATGCTTCTTTCAAATTGTTAAGTTAGATACAATACTGTGTGTGTGTGTGTGTGTGTGTGTGTGTACATGTGTGTGTGCGTGCGCGCACTCATGCGAGCACACGTGCCAGTCCTGGGGCTTGAACTGAAGGCAGCCTGGGTGTTGTTCTTGAGCTTTATGCTCAAGGGTAACAAACACTGTACCACTTGAACAACAGTTCTACTTCCAGCTTTTTGGTGATTAATTGGAGATGAGCATTTGGACTGTCTTGCCCAGATTGGCCTCTCTCTGTGATCCTCAGATCTCAGCCTCCTGAGTAGCTAGGATTATAGGCATGAGTCCCCAGGGCCCAGTTATATATAATGCTTTGGATATTGACCAAAGTACCTTGTACAAATTTATTATTGTTAGGTTATAATATCATACTAGGATCTAAAGGACTTAAAGTAAAAGGATCTAAAGGACTTAACAGGCATGTGTAGAGCGTATTCTGTAGTATCTATCTGTATTATGATATATTTAAGTTATAAAATATGACTAATTACTGTTTTTAAGAATTTTGAAGTCAGTCCAAATATCAAATATATCTATTACAGTATGGGTTGGTTAAATTATAAAGTTTCCTCACACTAAAATAAACTCTAAAACTTTTTTCATATGGTATCAAACTTTTTCCAGTATCATCAAATCCAAAGTACAATATGCTGATGTCTCTGTATATAAATCCTCTGAAGCCATTGGTCTAAATGCTAGCTACAAATATGTAATTAACCGTGGCGGGCAGAGATGATCTTAACCTCAACTATCTACTAGTCAGAATCTTTAGGGTATAATATAGAAATCTGAAAGTTTTTTGAAGAATCACCAGCAATTCTAACACAAACCTGAATTAAGGACAATTGTTTATAAGACCTCTTGTTTTTAAAAATTTATTTTATTGTAAAGATGCCGTACAGAGGGGTTACAATTACATGAGTAAGGTAATGAGTACATTTCTTGTCAAGCATTGTTACCCCCTCCTTTGTTATTCTCCTGCAATCCATAAGACCTCTTGCTTTTAATAAAAATGTCTATGCAAACCCTATAACAGAATATACACAATTACGTAAGGAAAAGGTATGTCCATTATAGAGATAGGTAAATGCTACGGAGAAGTTTAAGTCAGCAAAAAATTTTCTGGAATGTTATAAGAACACTATAGCTTGGGGGGGGGGTATTCTTTTTTTGTCAGTCATGAGGCTTGAACCCTGGGCCTGGGCACTGTCCTTGGGCTCTTCAGCTCAAGGTTAGCACTCTACCACTTAAGCCATAGCACAGAAAGTCTCACGGACTTTCCTACCTGGGCTGGCTTCAAACCTCAATCCTCAGATTCCAGTCTCGTGAGTAGCTAGGATTACAGGCACGAGCCACTGGCACCCAGCTATTTTTATCTTTTATAAATTGAAAATTTATTTTAAGTATTCACTTACTATTGGTTATATATTGAGTCAAAATATATATTTTATGCTTTTTAATAAAATATATTTTCATTTTATGTTTTTTAATGTTAACAATTTACTTTAAAAAAGACGTTTTCTCCAACTTAAAGAATGATGAAGCTGGCGCCAATGTCTCATGCCTGTAATCCTAGCTACTCAGGAGGCTGAGAGCTGAGGATTTCAATTCTAAGTCAGATGTGGCAAAAAGTCCTCCTGAGCCTCTTATCTCAAATTAACCACCCAAAACCTGGAAGTGGTGCTATGGCTCAAGTGGAAGAGTACTAGCCTTGAGCACAAAGAGGCTCAGGGACATAGCCCAGGCCCCAAGTTTAAGCCCCACAACCAGGGAGGGGGTAGAGGAAAGACTGTTGAAGCACCCAAAATCAAAGAATATCTTTTAAGACAGATATCTCCTTCTAAAGGCATACTTTTCTCTTTTTCTTTTTCTAAAGGGATACTTTTCTTTTCCATGTAAAGGGACTACTTGGCTAGGGAATACATGTTAGATCGAATTTACTGGACAAGAATATTAACTTTTGCTCAATCTTGGTTTTCCTAAGTAACAAAGACTTTTATTCTTCGTGGGAAATATATAGAAAGTTCTTTACATTCAGATCATAAAGCAAAGTTCTTCACTTCTCATCACTGCTTTTAGGATGTTCTTTCCATTACCTCATTTTAAGTAACTGAAGCTCTGAGGGGTTGGCTGGAGCTTATATTAGCAGTGCTTGGTTCAAATGGTAGCTGTCAAACCTTACCACCACCACCACTACCACACATACACACACAGCCACTAAGTTGTTGCTGTTGCTTCCCTGAGGTTCAACCAGACAGCCAAATCAGGCCTGTGAAGTCAGGAAGAAGGTAGGGTATGGATCAGAGCTGAAATCACACTACCTGCAGTACAAAAGTACCCCAGGACACAGGAAGATAGTGACAGGAATCTGTGTTTGCCCAGCAATCAAAGTGCCCTGCTCTGGACCATTCTGTCAGTGTTGCAGCAGTCTGGTCAGTGGACTTAAAAGTGATGCCCTAGAGTACAACCAGGCATCTCTTTCAAGTTGTACAGAGATCTACCAAGGCTGCTGCTGTTATTCCTGTGGCCCCTGAGACAGGCTTGGTTGCGATCATTACTACCACTGTGCCTAAAGTCCTATCACAGGTTATAGTGGCTGCAACCTTAGCACTGTCACATCTGCAAATCCTGTAAGTGCTGTGAAATCAATATTTATTTTAATGACCCAACTGCACTGTCATGACAATGGGTAGAGACCCAAATCCAGCCACCATAACTCCTACAGATACTGGGAGCCTTGGATATAACGTGGGAACTTCCTCATGTGGAGGCTTGCCCTCACCACTTCCATAGAGATCAACAAATCCCAAGCTGCATATGTGTTGGTTGCCAAGAAGAATTTGCTTCATGGCCACAGCTGTCATGGATGAACTCAGACTCCAAAACTGATCCAAAGGTTCCCACCACACTGCACTCTGTAAGAAACAATTCTCTCATTGATGACAGCTAGGAAGGACAAGCCAAGTGCACCTGTGCAGACTGTCATGCGAAGACAGAACGTCTGTAATGAGCAATCAGGGATATTGTGTATATGAGTGGGCTCACCGTTTCTTCCCACAGCGAATTATAAGCAGCACTCCTCTCACACACACCCCCGTCAGGCTGGGTAGTCTAGGACTTCTGTACCCTGCATGACCATTCTGTATTGCAGCATAACTCCCAGTAAAGCCTTTTGGGGATAATTTCATTACCTGTTCTTGATTTCTCTCAGGTAGACTGGGCTGCGCTGGCTACACTGAGTTAGTAACACCACTGACGGATTGTTATCCCCAAGAACACCTAGCAGCCAGAGAACTGCATAAGAGCTGCCAGGGGCTACTGTGAGCTGCAAACTCCAGGTGTTGAGAGCACCTAGGAAGGCTGCCAAAAACAGCTGGGAAATCTGTTAACATTAGCTGCTGAGAGCCACTGGCACTCAGAGCTTGATGTTCTAACACCAAGGGAGCTTTCTTTGGGATTTCACATTTTTTGTGATTTCTATCCAGAGCAAAAGGACCCTAAGCCATTAATAACAATTAGATGGAGATAGCAAGAATAAACTTGACATTTTAACATTAATCCTATACTTAGCACAGAGCTTCCTGTTAGAAGGAAAGGTGTAAGAACAGGCGCTACTTTCTTCTCCAGCCCAACTCCTTTTCTCCTGACAAAGATTAAAACAGTAACTCAGTACTGAAGGTAAAGTCATAAGATATTCTGAGAACAGGTAAGATTACAGCCTTTGTTTTTTAATTTTATTTATTTTTATTGTAAAGGTGATATACAGAGGGGTCACAGTTACTAGGTCATGTAATGAGTACATTTCTTTTTCAATAGTGTCACTTCTTCCCTTGTTTTCTCTCAGTTTTTCCCCCCCACAAGTTATATAGTTCATTTTCAACATAGTGTCCCACCATTTATGTGCTTCCCCTTACACTCCCCAAAACAGACAAACTTACATACAAGATGAAAAGTACAGAAATCAAAAACAGCGACAAAAGGGGAAAAACAAAAAAGAAAACCCACAAAAAGTAAAATAAAAACCTCATTTCCATTTCTTGGAATTCATTTCAATAAACATCATTTTATATGTTCATATGCACATAGCTACTGAGCTTTGTGATCCTCTCCTAAGAATATCCTCCTTTGGTATCACTGTGTGAATGAGTCCTGTTTAATTTAGCATGTCGAAGTATAGGTTTTTGTCTTTTAGCATCCATTGTGTTTACTTGTAAATGAGGGAAGCCATGCAACATGTTTCTTTGAGTCTGGCTTACTTCACTAAATACAATTTTCCCATGTCTTAGATTATAGCCTTTATCATGACTATAACCTGCCCTTTTCTGACAGGAGTCTCCACTCTTCA